CGCTCAGCTCGCGAGCTTCATCGTGCCTCGAACAAAGGGTGCCCCGATGGTGCGCGGGGGAAACGTCCCCGGGGACCTGTCGCCGCGAAAGACCCGACCGTCGGGTAAAAATCGACAGCTCGTCGATATTCTCGATCCTTTGTTCGCCTGGATCGAAACCGGTTACGCCAATGGATACATCTTGCGCGTTGACGCGTTGCTCGCCGTGGAGCGATTACGAAGAAATTAGGATTACGAAGAAATTACGAAGAAATTAGAAATGCTCGGAGGTCGGAATTGAAATCGGCAGATACGAGAATGCTTAATTACGATTTTTAGAGCATCGCGGCTCGTTTTTATGGGATTTGGAGGTCGCATGACACGATTCGAAGGCGATTCGGAGGCCACGTGCCACGATTCGACGATCACTCGGGGCGATTCACACCCGAACAGATCATTTTGCGTCGTCGAATCTTAACATCGACGTAGTAATATGTTACATAGGCGTAGTACTAGCACAGGGAAATTCACAGCGACCCGAAATGTGGCAATTCCGGGAGAAATTATTGTACTTCCAAAAATGCGTCGAACATTTGGTCTCGCGGTTCTCCGTTTCAGTTTCACTAGTTATCGTCGATGTTTGGGATTTTTTCTCTCGAAAACCACGAGAGCTTTCGACGATGACCATAAATTTTTTGATCCGTGGAAAGTCGAAATACGTCCGCGGGAAACTCTGTTCGAACAGCTGTCGTTCCAGCTATTCTGCTGTTTCAACTTTCGATCATTTTAATTGTTACTGCGAGACTGCGAACGTTTATGCAAATGCGCTTTTTTCATAGAAAATAGTCACGAATAGATGATTCCAAAAACACATTTTTTATTTTGTATGTTGCATATTTGTGATTAAAAACCTGAAAAATTGGGATAGATGCTTGCAATGTGCTCGATACCTAATATTAGACTGAACATTCAATACAATACACACTTAATATCGCGCGCGTTTCATATTTTCATAATAAATGCATAAGCGTGCACGAACGTCACATGCGTTTTGCATATTTATCGTGCGTAAACACCCGCAGCGTATCTATCACATTCTCCCATTCTTCTATCGCCTTCAGAATTCACCGTTTCGCGCAGTCATTCCTATCGTGACCGCATAAATTTCGTAGTCTAATTGCTCGTAATAGTTGCATCGAGGGCGATCAGCGTATGCAGAAAGCACGTTCGACAATTTGTCTAAAAATACGCTCTTCGAAAAATTCGGAGGAGCCCGGACGTCATTCGGCTCTGTCGTCGTAAAACATCAGCATCCGGGGACCACCCCCGGGGTCGACTATACTCCCCTTGAAATTGAACAAACCTGCCAGCTGCCTGGAAACGGCTGCCGCATTCATTATCGTGCGAGAGAATGAGACAGGAGAAAAAAAGGCTTTCCTTTGACACGCGCGGACTCAACGCGAACAGAAGAATTTCCATGAATTCCTAAATAGACGTCTCGGTGCTCGAGCCCTGATATCTACGGATATGATCGATTGCGCCTGACAGACTTCCATTCTGATCCGAATGAAGCATGAAGCGGGCAAGTTCAGGGTGGGCGATACGAGATTCTCATATCGAACAGTCGGCGCGGATTTCATTAAAAATTAGCGCTTCGAGCGGCGTTCTATCTTCGGAGCGGTACCTGCCGCCGATTTCTGCGAACAGTAAATTCTCCCTAATTGACGCTCGGATTGCACACAAATTGGGAATAGGGAATACATGAGAATCGGTAACTATAAAAATGAGACTCGATGCATTAAAAAAAGGCTGGAATTTACCATTTTTGTGCGTAATCTGAGCGTCGATTAGGGAGAATTTACTGTATCGGGTCAGGACCTCGCTTAGGTCTCTGTCGAAATCGCTCGCATGATCCGGGACAAGCTTAATGTCGCCTGCTGGTCCACGGAGACTTCCTTCAAATGAAAATTACTGGATTTCTGCGAAAAGTCGCGTCGCTGGGAAAATGAACGCGTTCCTCTGAAAGGAAACACACGACGAAAACTATAACGCAATTTTGGACCAAAGTTGGCCAACTTTGACCGACGATAACTCCGCGAAAAATCATCGTAGGTCGACGATTGTTTTTTTAAATTAAAGCCTGAAACCTCTACTTTAAGGCAATGTTCCTGAATTTTAAGTATCACGCACCCTCGCCACTGTGACCCTTTAAATATAGGGTCATGTTTGCATCTTGGGACAAGCTTGTCGTCTCGAAAATTGCGAAGTTTAATTAAACGCACGGACTTCGTAAAATTTTTTTCAGAGATGCCGTTTGCAGTCGAACGAAGTTCGATTCCTCCTCTTTCTTTCGTAGAAAAAGAAACATGGCTGCGATTTTTCATCGCGAAGTTACAGCGCTTCGAAGTAACCGATGCATACGAAGTATCGATAGATTTTTGTCGTCTTGCTGAACCCGTTGCAACAGAAACTTTTTATATCGCATAAAGATCCGCGGTCTAATAATAACGCGGGCGAAATATTAATTTCCGGCCAGGATTCTTCACCGACAGGAATTCCCCCCCGATGCGTTCGGGCTCTCCAATAATCTTGATCGTCTTCGGCGAGGAAAAGTCCCGTCGGAATATCCCGGCGAGGAGAAACATTTTCTTAGCCTGAAACGTCGGACAGCCGCGCGGTTTTGTTCCCCCGGCCGGCCAGATAATGTAACAATTAGCGCGGTCAGTCGGGCGTCGTTAACGCGGCATTGTTAACCCTCAACCGGATTATGTTGGCCGCGACGGCCCCTCGGCAACTTTAAGCAAGTCGTGCATTAAATATACGGTGATGCGATTATATAAAAAAGAATTCATGCAATCCTCTATTAACTCGTAAAATTCGCAATGTTCCGACGGAAATTTACTTGCATTTGCTAATTCGGTAATTATGCAATGCTCGCTGAAACGATAATTATGTCGACGGACATAATAATAACCGAACGTGTAAGAATTCAGATAATAACATACGTAACGCGAATCATTAATAGCCAGCTGGCAATCCCTTTGTTCTTGCACGCGTTCGCTTCGATGTAACGCCTAGAACGCTATGTAAATTTCTCAGTTTTAGTACTATGCTCTCGCGAATTCTCTATCACGATTTGTCCACTTTTTCTCGATCTCCATTGTTGCTTTCGTACGCTCTGCTATTCTAGCTCTAATTGGGGTAATTTAGAATCTTAACTGTAACTTTATATGAGTATATTTGAAATCATTATTTCGGCTTCCTTGTTCGTATTTTCCTGGAATATTTTTTTAGGATTTCGATGTACATGATATTTATAATTATACTTGTAACGGACAAATTGTGTTCCGTCTATTAAATAAATTAAACGAATTAAGCAATACAAATGAAAAGTGGAAAAGAGGTATCAAAAATAATGCAGTAAATTCTCCCTAATTTTCCTTCAGCTTGCAAACAAAAATTTACAATTTAGGAAGAGGAGCTACGAATGTACGAGCCTTGCACCTCGTTTTTATAATCGTTGACTATAAAAAAGAGCCGCGAGGCTCGAGTAATCGTATCTCCTCTTCCCAAATTATTCATCTTTGTTCGCAAGCTGAAGGAAAATTCCGCGATAAAGACAGTCTTTCCTTCCATCATCTTACCATCGAATAGCTTTCAAATTGCCGCGCAATAAATAAGAAATCATTCTCCAGGATCAGCGGCCCTGGATAACTATTTATATAACTGTAATTAATAGAGCCGCGGAGCTTCGCGTCGAAAGAGACGTCGGCGGCTTCCGCGGGGTCTGGCGCTATTATCCACGACAGAAATCGGAGATCGGAGAAGATGAGGACTCATTACGGAGGTGACCCGATCACCGGGGTAATAAGATCCCCTCGTTCATCCGATAATCTCGATTTACGCGAAAACGAGTCATCGCAGGATCGATAAACGCGGCATCAACCTCCGCGGATGATCGTTAAAAAGCTTGCGCACGTTTTTCTGCTAGCCGCGTCAGCGTCGCGATCTCGCGAAATTCCCGGAAATAGCATGGAAATATCCCACAAAAGAATGTTCACATTATTAACCCTTTGCACTCGAGTGGTGACTCCGAGGCACCACGAAAATTGCTACACCACGTTTCAAGATAATTTTTATAATAACAAAACTTACGTATAAAGAATTGTCAAAAGTCTAACTGTTGTATGAGTCACAAGGCTCAATTTCATGTGCATAAAATGCACTTTGTCATTAAAATGGAAATACCATAAGTCGGGAAAGTTAATTTAAATTTACAGTTAATACGGCTTTGAGTACAAAGGGTTAAGTTCGTCTGTATTCGATAAATCGTCAAATAACAGAAGTATTCCATAAAAATACAAAAATCTTCTATAAATATACAGGGTGTCCCAAAAATGTCTCGCAATCCGAAAGTGGCGGATTCCTCAGGTCATTCGAAGCAACTTTTTCCTTTACAAAAATTTTCTCCGAGTCACCGTTAACGAGTTATTAACGAAAAACAATGACCAATGAGAGGCGAGCTCAGCTGACGCGAGGCGACCGAGCCAATGAGCGGAACCGGGCTTCGTGCGTCGGTTGGCTGGGCCGCCTCGCGTCAGCCGCACTCGATTCTGATTGGTCACTGTTTTTGGTTAATAACTCGTTAACGGTGCCTCGGAGAAAATTTTTGTAAAGGAAGAAGTTGCTTCAAATGATCCGAGGAACCCGCCATTTCCGGATTACGAGACATTTTTAGGAAACTCTGTAGAAGTCTTCTATACACACGTCCAATATCGTGTGTATCAAATAAAAACAATTACACCAAATGGAAGTACTACAAATTGAAACAAACGTCTTCGTTTTCTCGTGAAAGTAGTCTCGAGTGCAAAGGGTTAAGCCTTTAGCAAAAATAGCGCCCCAACAAAGTCCCGACACCTTCGGTAGAAAAATAGCGTTCGAATAAATGAAAGGGACGAACGATCAATCGATTCTGTTCTAGAGGTGATCGCTTGTAGATCATTTTGCCTGCCGCGACCCAGGTGAAGACCCAGCGACCGGATTCGCCCGTGGAAGGGGTTCGGTAATCGATAGATCGAGGGGCCAGTCGCGATGGAACAGAAGGTCGCCGTGGGAAGTTGAAGCAGCAATTGAGAAGGAAACGCGTTGAAGATCATCTTGCGAGTTCTGTTGCGGATCTGTGGCCGCGACGGCACCACCGGAGAGATGACCGAGGACGAGAGACACGCGGAACCGGAGGCTACGGGGATCCCGGCGGACACCGCGGAACGACAAGTCTCTCTCTACCCCATCACGGTACGAGAGCTTCTTCAGTTATTCAATTAGCCTTAAACTAGAAATATTCCGTTTTTAGGGCTTCGCCGAGCGAGAATAATTGCGGACGTGCAACGTCCGGCGACTTCGCTGCCGTCGGTTAGCGGAATTCGTCTCACGCTGGCACGTTTCCTTGATTAATCGTATTCTACTCTTATTATCTCCTTATTCAGCGGGCTGCATCGTGTACAATTTTCTCTGAAGTATTTCACCTCGTCGCTACGCAGCGTTCTCTATAGTAATTCAAGTATTATTTTCAGGTAATTCGAGGGTTCTTTCGAATAATTAAGGGGAGGTCTAGGAGGTCAAAGAGATCATTTTTCGAATGTTTTTGATCAGAAAAGCGAATAAGATGATAGTCCGGATTCTTCGACATTTTATTATGTTTCTTTTGAGCATTCAAAATGTTATATAATGTTTCATTTTATTTAATTATTGAGAGTATATAGCAGGAGTCATTCTATAAGGGTTGTCGAAAAATCCTTTTCGAATGTATTTTTAAACTGCGTGATATTTCCAAAACGGTGAAACTATGAGAGTATAAAAAGATCCTCTTTTTAACAACTCTGACATTTTAAGGTCGAGCATCACTTTTTTATCAATTTGCTACAACACCATATTACTTAAAAATTCGCGAATTTAGAGAAACCTGCGATATATAAAAGATTCGCCGCCTGTGAAAAAATATGTTCTTTAATTGAAATCAAAATTCACTTAAATCGACGGGAAATGATGTTTCGCGAAGCGCGCGTTTAAAATTTTTCGCGACGACAAAGAACCCACGCGGCACCTGCCGCTTAAAGCCGTACAACTTCGGTAATTTTTAGAATGTTTAAATTTCCTTCCAACTACGAATTCTTGAAGCATCGTGGCCAGTGAAAAAGGAAAAAATCGCTTCTTTCCGAAGTTCTAGACCTGTCCTTAAAAAACGTCGCTTCCAGCAACGTCTCGAAACTGCGCGATTTTCAAAATGATCCTTGAATCCTCCTCGACGAAATTACAACAATTACGGTAATTAATTACAATTATTATTATTAATTAATTAGAACATTACAGTAATTAAATAATTCAATTACAACAATAATAGTATTCGATCAAACGTCAACGCGAGAGCTCGAAGAGTCTCGAATATCGAACGACTTTAATCGCTTTTTTTTTTAAGACGACGTCGAGATAAAAGCTCGCGACGTTGTTCGTTCGCGTGAAGTGTAATCTGATCGCACACGAGTTCCCGCGTGATCGTATTGCATTCGAAAATGCAAATTCGCGGCACGAATGATCACGTCGATGAAACATTCGCCCGTAAAAACCAGAATTTGCATACGATAGTTCACGGTCCGCGGGGTGCGCGCATGATGTTTCCTGTAAACGTTGAATTATTCCCGACCAATAATTGAATTTCAAGTTTACGCGGTAATCAACAATTAACACAAAACTCATGATTGAATTAATGGTGAAATTTCGATGGCCTCCGACGGACCATGAATTTTCATGCGTCGACGGCGAAATTCGCGAGACACAACGGAAGGTTTGCATTAACAAATGTTAACATATTTGCTGTCCCGTCGGATGGTTACGAATCCAATTAATATATCGAACATCGTACAGCGATAATACTTAATTAACGTTGCCTAATTGCCATTTGTTTCCGCTGCATTACGAAAAAACCTCTCGCGAAAATGCTCGAAGCTCGCCGATCACGGACGTGCTTTTTGTTATTATATCAACATCGACGTAATTACACGCGTCACATTCAAGCAGCGTACATTATTAAACGTTAAACTTTCTAAAAAAAAAAAAAACAACATTAACGTTCTAGCCGACGAATCGGAGAGATTATCGAGTGCGACGTTGTCGCTGACGATACGAATTGTTACAGCTAAATTGGCTGCTGTATCGCGCCGCTGACCCAAAAATTAGTACAGATAACAAACGTGCTGCACAACCATCGATTCGTCCTTTCGATATCGATCCGAAGTAAAATTGTATCAGGGTCATTCGACATTCTACGGCAGCCGCCGTGCGGCTCGCATAAATTCGAGGATTCGGGTTTTATGACAGGGTTCCGAGCAGCGCGCGCGGTTCCGAGCCTAAACATACCTATCAATAGGCGATGATTGGCGACTAATTACGCCGGGTCACCCAATTATCAATTGCCCATAGCCAATAGGGACGTTTATCCGCGATAGCCGAGGCGGAATTCTAAACGGCTCGCGGTGTCGCGTTGCTTTCGAACGGCCATTGTTCCCGGGCGATGAGAGAGAAGCAGCGAATAAAACCGCTTTAGGCTCGCGAGCTTTCAGGTTCGGCAAATTCTGTATCGGCTACGAAGAGGAGTCGAAGAGGTCTTCGACGAATGTCGCAGCGATAGGCCAACGTCCGTTTGATTTCTGCCGCAGGTGGAGGAGAAGAGTCGCGGGGACGGGACAAGGCACGAGGCGCAGGACAATGAGGCGGCGAAAACGAGCAAGAAGGAGAGCCAAGTCCAGAGATTACAGCCGATCGACACGCAAGCCGACAGGTGAGCACGCGATCCGAACGCGATCTAAAGATCGAGCCGCGACCGCGCCCCTGCGAAGAATCCGCGCGCGTCGCCCGAGAAATACCGAGCCTCCTCGAGATCCTCGCGGAAGGATCGTCGCGTGACGACAGTGTGGGAAACTCGCACGGAATCCTAGGAAATGTCCATTCGCGTCGATCTGGGGGCGTCGCTCAAAGACACCTTGGAAAATGCGCGTTTTCATACTCGAGAGGCTTTCCATTCGTTGCTCTCGATTTTCTGGAGCAGCTTGCAGAGCACTTAGTTATATTCAAGTCCTTAGCTATATTCAGGTTCTCAGATATATTCGAGTCGCTACAGCTGTATTCGAGTTTACTTTACCGTACAGATTTTAACGAAAATTCGTTCGCGACCTTCTCGCTCTTACTCCCCGAAAATACGACGCTCGGCGAGAAAATAATTAGCGTAAAATTTGATAGCAATCGCGCCGTCGATTGACTTGACTTTGAAATTGTCAACTTTTCGACATTTCAATTCGATAATTTAATAACACCTACAACAATAACACCTAATGGATACAAATGTTATCGACTCCTTTTAAGTAGAAACGAAGCGTTTACGCTCGTGTAGAAAATTAGCAACAAAGACGCGCTAATTAACGCAGCCGTGGAAGAGATCGCGGTACAAGGGGCTAATGGTCCTTAATTAGTTGTAAGTAGCTTAGCACTTTTTCTCGAGAATATCGTCGCCCAGTATTTTCCTGGAACATCTCGCGACGAAGAAAGTTATAAACTTGAAGAGACGTCTTAACTTGACATAACCTTAACCGTATTGTCGCTACTGCCGATAACTCTATCTCCGATAGCAGTTTGGAGACAGATTTCTTTTTTTTTCTTCTTCTCTTTCCTTCTTCTCTCTATTTTAATATATTTCTCTGTTAAGCTTCTCTTTTCTTTTATGTATTCTCCTTTCTCTTTCACCGTCTTCATACTGATTAATTTGTGGCTTCGTTAAGGCCAGCGGGTTTTATCAGCCGTATACAACAATTAATATCATTCTCCTCTCTATTCTAATATATTTCTGTTAATCACTACTTTCGCCTTTTATTATTTTTTCTTGTTATTCTCCTTTCTCTTTTATGTCTTTATAGCAATTAATTTGTGGCTTCGTTAAGGCCAGCGAGTTTTATCAGCCGTATACAATAATTAATATCATTCGGAGAATTAAATCTTAACCGTATTGTTGCTAGTGTCGATAAATAACTTTATCTCCGATAGTGTTTCGGAGACAGATTTCCTCTTCTTTTCTTTCCTTTTCCTCTCTATTTTAATATATTTCTGTTAATCTCTTCTTTCTCCTTCTATTATTTTTTTTATTATTATTCTTTCTCTTTCTCTTTTACCGTCTTCATAGCAATTAATTTGTAGCTTCGTCAAGGCTAGCGGATTTCATCATCGGTACAAGTAATATCATTCGAAGGATTAAATAACGATGATTTTGACAACGATGCAGCACAGGTGTACGTTCGCCGGACAGGTGTGACCCTGCCGGCGGAAAACGAGTTCGCCGGGAGAGAATAGCGAAATCGAAGGTTCGAATCTCGTGGTGTGGGCGTATAGGACGAAGGAAAGCGCAATGACGGGCCGACTCGCGATTCCATTAGCTCGCAATTTCCACGTTACGCCGGCCTTTCGCCCGGCTTTTGCTCCGCGAAGGGTCGTGGGGTCGCGATTCCGAAGGGAATATAAGTTCGCCCGGCCGTCTTAGCGCCGGCAAAATTTTGTTCGCGACGTAACTGGATTATCCGCTCTCCGTCGAGCTTCGTGTTGTCCACGTCGATTCGGCAGATACCAATCAACGACCGATGGCGTTTCATCGAACACGGCGTCGGCTTCGATGAAGCGTTTAATCGGTGAAACGACGGTCACGGGGCGAAGCGACGTGTAGATAACGTTTTGGGCGCGGATGCAACAATTTCTCGTAAGCGAAACCGCTGGCGGTTGGTGTCTCCGTCAACGTGGTCCGGCATAGTAAACCGTCGAAGCCGAGCAAACCAGCTCGCTTCGGAATTCGACTAGGAGCGGCTCTTTCAGCAAGGAATGTCTCTACGAGAGAGGGAGAGAGAGAGAGAGAGAGAGAGAGAGCGAGAGAGGGCGAAAGAGAGTGAGAGGAAGAGAGAGAGAAGAAGAGAGCGAGAGGGAGAGAAAGGCAGAGGGATAAAGAGAGAGCGGGAGAGAGAGAAAGGCAGAGGGATAAAGAGAGAGCGAGAGAGAGAAAGAGAAAGGCAGAGGGATAAAGAGAGAGCGAGAGAGAGAAAGAGAAAGGCAGAGGGATAAAGAGAGAGCGGGAGAGAGAGAAAGGCAGAGGGATAAAGAGAGAGCGAGAGAGAGAAAGAGAAAGGCAGAGGGATAAAGAGAGAGCGAGAGAGAGAAAGAGAAAGGCAGAGGGATAAAGAGAGAGCGAGAGAGAGAAAGAGAAAGGCAGAGGGATAAAGAGAGAGCGAGAGAGAGAAAGAGAAAGGCAGAGGGATAAAGAGAGAGCGAGAGAGAGAAAGAGAAAGGCAGAGGGATAAAGAGAGAGCGAGAGAGAGAAAGAGAAAGGCAGAGGGATAAAGAGAGAGCGAAAGAGAGCGAGAGGAAGAGAGCGAGAGAAGAAGAGAGCGAGAGCGAAGAAAAGAAAGGGAGAGCGCGAAGGAGAGAGAGCCGAAAGAATGTCCCTTCCCTCGCTATGACCTTTCGAGGCTCGATTACACAGACCGGAACCCCATCGCGCTGATGGGACACATCCGACAGGCTGTCGCGGACAGGCCGGACAATGGAGACTAGCGAAAAGCCCGGCATCAAGCCGCCCGGAAACGAATAACAATCGATAAAAGTGTCTCAGGCTGTGATCGCGTGCTTCGATCAAGTCCGTCGAAATATTCGAGCACGAAGTATGGAATCCTGTGTAACCGGACCGAACGGTTTTACGTCGGCGAAAATTTCGATGCGGATTACAGAAATGTCTCCCTAATTGACGCTCGGGTTGTCCACAATAATGGACAATTTGGGAAGAGGAGACACGATCATTCGAGCCTTGCGGTTCGTTTTTATAGTTACGAATTGCCAACAACTATAAGATAACTCGGATAATTGTATCTCTTCTACCAAAATTGTCAAATTTTGTGCACAATCTTAGCGTCAGTTAGGGAGACATTACTGTAGTCTACGATGCAAGTAGATGTGGCATGCGATGGTCAGACGCGCGCGATTTTCTGCGTTTTCGATGGGATGAATAATTGCGTGAGCTTTGAGAGGAAACGTTATTTTCAAGATTATTGAAAATATTAGGAGAAGACGTTGCGTTATTATTGCAAGAATTGAGCGTTGCAATGGGTGCGTTCAATTTTCATTTGCATATGTGTATATTGTATAATAAAGCAACGCGTTTTTCTGATAGTTTCAATAATCTTAAAAATCATGTAACAATGTTCTAGAATTCTTCTCGAAGCTCACGCTATTATTCATTCCGTCAAAAAAACGTACAAATAATTTTTTTATTGTACTGGTGTGACGGCTATTAAAATATCTCCCTTTTTACCTCTTCTTTTTGTAATTGTGAGGTCGTTTATCCATTTATTATATATATAATATATATTATTATTACATTATAATTATAATTATATTATATAATTATTATTAACATATAATATTGTTATATAATAATAATATATAATATATAATTATATATATAATAAATATAATATTAATATAATATATAATAAATATAGTATTAATATAATATATAATATTTAATATATATTAATATATTATTATATATTATATACATACATATCATATATTATTATATTATTATATATATATATATATATATATATATATATATATATATATATATATATAATATATATTACATATAATAATATATAAATAATTAATCATAATTATTTCCAAGACACCCCGTGTACACAATATTACTACTACATTACAACGACTGTTCCCATCAAAACGATTCCGCAGGTTTCCAGGTAAGAAGCCGCAGGCTCCGAACGTTTCGTCGCGCGTTAGCGTAAATCCATCGAGGGCTCAAACAATCCTAATTGCAGAGGCGGCTCGGTGGTGCGCGACCGTACGTCTCGGGGCTCGCGCCGGAATGTTTGCTCGGGCATAATGATCGCGACAGCTCCCCGATGCACCCGTGCGCCCGCGATACCAGAATCTCGAGTCNTATATATATATATATATATAATATATATTACATATAATAATATATAAATAATTAATCATAATTATTTCCAAGACACCCCGTGTACACAATATTACTACTACATTACAACGACTGTTCCCATCAAAACGATTCCGCAGGTTTCCAGGTAAGAAGCCGCAGGCTCCGAACGTTTCGTCGCGCGTTAGCGTAAATCCATCGAGGGCTCAAACAATCCTAATTGCAGAGGCGGCTCGGTGGTGCGCGACCGTACGTCTCGGGGCTCGCGCCGGAATGTTTGCTCGGGCATAATGATCGCGACAGCTCCCCGATGCACCCGTGCGCCCGCGATACCAGAATCTCGAGTCTCGAAACAGCCGGTTGGTATTCGTTAGCGGTTACCGATGGAATCTCCTCGGCAACGAGCAGAATTAACGGCGAAATCGCCTTTACTCGTGGACATATGCAATCGCGCGAGGGCCGCGTCTTTTGTTCCCACGAACGTCTAATTATCTCGGATAATTGATCTGCGGTGCGTTCGCCCGCGTCGGCCTGTCGACTCGCCGGACACCTGTCCGTCCCGACGCCGACGCATCAAGTTTTAACAAGCCTCGGTCTTCGGACTTACGCGTTCGAACGCTGGAAAACAACACCTGGGCTCAAATCATTTTCCGCTGCTACCGTGCTGTAATTAGCGGGCCGCGGATTTTTAACATTTACGACAGGAACGGGAGGAAGAAATATGGAACAGGAGAGCGAGATTAAAGGAATTTAATACGTTCAGAGCCGCGTGACTAGTGACGTATGGTTGATACTCA